TTTTAATTAATTAATTAATGACAATGAATTTGTGATTAACAATTTGGTAAAACAGACCATTATTCTCTACATAATACGTATTTTACAGTTCTGCACACAGTGCCGATTCTCTCCTGTAACCAAACAGACAAAAAATACAAATTAATACACAAACTTGTAAAAAAAAATTGTGTTTTAGTCGTATACTAGACTACCCGTTTTCTAGTTAGATAACTGTGGGTTTCGGTGGTCATCCATAAATGACATCAAGTCTGCCACTTATCATCACAAAATAACCAGACCCTACATTCAAAAAGCGTAAATTGAAAAAAAAAAAACATTGACATCATGTGTCTAAAACCCGTGCCACCCGCATTGAAGCCAATTACACTATCACCTTAGCTATATACGCTCGGGACAACACTAGTTGTGCTTCATATTACTAGTTTGTTTAAGAAACTTGATTTACGCGAATAGGCCCTAGATCTAATATCTTTCAAAATAAATTTTATCTTTAATTAGCCAATTCCAAAGCTAAACAAAGATATAATGAAGGTCTGAAATAGTTTAGTATAGAAACTCATTATTATCTAGATAGTTATCTCAGTGGCGGAACTAGAAAAAAGGGCCACCCGGTAAAAAAATTTTTTAGCCCCCCCCCCCACCCCATATATATACATATATATATATATATATATATATATATATATATATATATATATATATATATATATATATATATATATATATATATATATATATATATATATATATATATATATATATATATATATATATATATACAAAATACGAACATAGGATACAGAGGCGTAGCTAGGGGAGGGCGGCCGCCCCGGGCGCCGACCCTAGGGGGGGCGCCAAAAGTGGTAGAAAAAAAATAAAAGCTCAATGTAAGCTGCAATTTTGAATTATAAACAAAGTAAAGAAATTTAACGGCTTAGAGCCTTTGCATACTGATTTAATTGTTTTCTACCTTGGTTGTGTAACTGTACAACGTATATCTTTAAAAAACAGTGACGGGAAAAACCGCTTACCAGCTTTACTAGATGGGGACGGGGGGGGGGGGCGCTTTTTCGAAGACTAAAATCTGAAAAATTCACACCGGATTAAGGAATAAACCCATATCACCCGGAAAAGAAACCCATTGAACTAAAGCTTATTTTACGATTGTGTAACATAAATAAACCGGGAGTGATCTCCCCTAAACTTTCTCGAATATTCTTAGATTCTTTTTCTTCGTTCTTAATTTTTAGTGTTGGAAGGGATTCTTATATAACTCGGAATATAGACATGATTTTTAATTACTTAAACTTTTGAAATTAGAATAGAATCTCGTCGAAAAATGAATTGCGCACGAAGCCAACGCCAAAACAAAATGTGCATAATAGTGCGCAATATTATTAGTACTTTTTAAATTTACTTGCGTTTTTTGAGAAATCGGAAATAGCGTAGATTAATACTTCCGATCAACGGAAATTACTCAAAATGTGACAGAAGGTAAAGAATTAAATATTTTACTTACATGTGAAATTTCATTTATCTATCTGAAATAGTTATAGGCTTTTTAAAACTTCAAAGTAGAAAAAGTAGAAAAAGTACCACTTCCGGTTATTGGAAATCGATCAAAAGTTGAAACGGATCTACGATTTAGATAAAATACTTATATATGAAATTTCATCAACCTAGCTGTAACGGTACTCAAGTTAGCGTGTTTACACACAGACAGACAGACACACAGACACACAGACATACGGACAAGATTGCAAAATTATGTTTTTCCGTATCAGTGAGGTGTAAAACGTCTTTGTTTTGCACGATTACAAGACTTTCTCTATTCTTCGTATACGAGAAAGTAAAAAAGAGTTAGCAGATTGTCGGAGCGGGTGGATGGGAAGCGACACTCTTTGCCAAAATTTTAAGAGAGAAGAAAATTAGTATATATTTTAATTGAATCAAAATACAACATCAATTCACGTATATAAGTGATTTAGTGTATTTTGTGAGAATCTGACTTATTTTATTTCTGCTATAAAACCTCGTAACCTGTAGTCGGCCAAACGAATATAAAACATGAAAGCTTTGTATAAGTAATGGTGTCTCGTGTTGTTTTTTTGTGTGATTTTTTGTTAATATTATTAAGTTTAAATACATTTCCTCTTTACAATTTCATTTTTAGTAAGTTCTTTATAAAAAAAAATAATAATTAAGAGAAATAATTGCTTTTTTAATTTGTTTAGTACAAATCTATTAAAAAGAGCTTATGAGCACCCCTGTTCGACTATTTACAAAAAGGGAAATAAGTCAGTGACATGGTTTGAACGTTTGCTTATCTTTAATAAGTTTGATTGTAGGAGAAAGAGGACTCGACTTTCACAGTGGTTTAAAAACAAAGGGGAAAAAACAAGAGCGTGGGGTGGTGTCTACAGAATAAAAATAATCCAACCGCAGCTACGGTATTCTTTAAAAAAAAAAAACATTTAAAAAATGCAAGAATGTTTTTTTAAATATAAAAAAATATTATTGTCGACTGTGGGACCCCAAATGGCGTGCCCCCCCCCCCCCCCCCCCCCCCCCCCCCCCCCGACTGGTTTGGTTAAGTCGAGATTTTGCCGTAACTCTAGACTAGATAAATCACTTGTATTCTTGAATAAGATGATCCGTGAAGCTAAAAAGCAAAGATTTTGTATCAAATATTTAAGGACTAAAATAGTTTAATAAAGAAACTCAAAATGTATTCTAATTTTAAAATGTTTTTTATTTTTAACTAATTAATTTTGATTGGACCTAGATTCTAGATCTAGATCTATAAATAATTTCGACAGCTGATCTTTAGATACTTGATGAAGAGAAATTTATTGTATACTTAAATGAAAATGACTGTTGAAAATTGATATAAGTGTTGGAATGTAATAAAATAGCAAACGGACGTATCGTTAAAGAAATAGCCGACAGAAAAATTAGCTATATAATGCGTTATACTTCTGAAATCAATACATTAAATAACGTCTTTAAACAAATTTGTGATTAACAATCTGTCTAAAAACAAAAATTTTCTCTACCTACATACTAGTTTACAGCTCTACACATAGTGCAGATTCTCTCCAGTAGCCAATCAGACAAACAAATAAACAAATAAATATTCAAACATATAAACAAACTTGAGTTTTAGTAGTATTTATATGTTGATAGATAGATGGATAGATTGATTTATAAATACATTATCAGTGAAGTCATTATTATTGTGTATCTTTTTCAGCATTTAATTTATAAGTGTTTTTTTACTCTACAATGAATGACGTCATTTTTTAGATTTTTATAGTTTTAAGAAGGTCAAACTTTATAAGTTCCTTTATGTTTGACAGACAGAGTAACAGCATGGTGAAACTATAGTAATCTTTAAATCAATTTTTATGACTAATTGTCCATCAAATTAGATAAAACAATATTCCTGTATTGTCATCCAGGATCTACCACTATGCCGAAATTCAGCTCAATCAGACAATGGGAAGTGGGTTAAATTAAGATTCAAAGATTTACGGAGAGAGGGAGGGAGAGAGAGAGAGAGAGAGAGAGAGAGAGAGAGAGAGAGAGAGAGAGAGAGAGAGAGAGAGAGCGATAAATATAATGTCCAAGCTAAATACAATTTTAAAATATTAGGGATAGAAAGTGCCCAGAACATGACCCCCTCTGTCAGTTACCATCTTATTGAAAATGTTTGGGAGTGTTTGTGTGTGTGTGTGTGTGTGTGTGTAGTTACCGCCTTTTTGAAAATGGGTGGGTGTGTTTGTGTTTGTGTGTGTGTGTGTAGTTACCGCCTTTTTGAAAATGTTTGGGTGTGTTTGTGTGTGTGTGTGTGTGTGTGTAGTTACCGCCTTTTTGAAAATGTTTGGGTGTGTTTGTGTGTGTGTGTGTGTGTTTGTGTGTGTGTGTAGTTACCGCCTTTTTGAAAATGGTTGGGTGTGTGTGTGTGTGTGTGTGTAGTTACCGCCTTTTTGAAAATGGTTGGGTGTGTTTGTGTGTGTGTGTGTGTCTGTAAAGGACCAACAGCCCATTAGGCAGAGAGATGATCCGTGTGTCTGTGTTTGTGTGTTTGTGTGTGTGTGTGTCTGTAAAGGACCAACAGCCCATTAGACAGAGTCCGGCTGACTAAGACAAAAAATTTCACACCCTTGTTAGTTTCCAAGTATTGGTTTATAACACTGGTTACAAACTATGGTTTATAACCATTGTTATAAACTATGTATTATAACAGTATGTTATAGCCAACTCTACGATGATGAGATGAGAAAGTTATCAATGAAAAAAATGAATGTCGGTCAGTAGCACATTCTACATAAGACGGAAGGTCATTGGAGCAGTGGCAGCTGACCCATAAGACGGAAGGTCATTGGAGCAGTGGCACCTGACCTTCTGAAGTAAACTTTAGGGTCCAATTGACTGGTCATGATGTGGGGGGGGGGGGGGGGGATACAAACCATATTTGGTCAACACTACGGGGAAAATGAAATAGAACTATCACTGCACGAAACAAAATGGACATACCGAATGAAATAGACCGTTGTAATTCCACAATGCATAGAGGCTCATATTTTTGTAACGATTGATAGTACTTTAAAACAGATTTACTACAATAAAATAATATGACTGTTTCTGTCATTTACTTTAATTAAAAATCAAAACACATCCAATTTTGTGGTTCTATCGGTATTCAAACGCACACAATCTGCTTACGAGCTTCTAATTTGGACTTTGGCCGGTCACCCCTAGCTACGTCTCGTACTGGCCGGTCATTGTGTTAAAAAATAGTTTCGTGTATTGTTCATTCATTGAGGGGTGCTATATAAGCGAATCGTGTGGTTTTGGGCGTTTGCAGTTATGGATATATATATATATATATATATATATATATATATATATATATATATATATATATATATATATATATATATATATATATATATATATATATATATATATATATCTGTGTGTGTGTGTGTGCGTGTGTGTGTGTGTGTGTGTGTTAAGGCACATAACCCATAATTAACATGGAGAGTCTGAAGTATAGAAGAGACATCAAATGGTGAAGTAAAGAAGATCCAGCTTGAAGAGCAGTGTTGTGTGCAGTAGGTCTTTGTTTAGCTTGTCTCGTTTGGTCTGGTGGTGCTGGACTGTCTTGGATTGGGCTTGTTGGCATGTTTTTCACGACGGGCGACCCTGAGACAGGCGACCCTGCGACAGGCGACCCTGCGACAGGCGACCCTGCGACAGGCGACCCTGCGACAGGCGACCCTGCGACAGGCGACCCTGCGACAGGCGACCCTGCGACACGCCACCCTGGTGACTTAGCACTGTTGGCAGCAGGTTCGGCCCTGAAAGCAATGTAGTAGTAATAGTCGTTAACTTTTTCCTCTTCGTAATCAAACAAATTAATGTTCGTCGATTGAACGTTACGACTAGCCGTGCGATCAACTAACTGAGGAGATTTGGTCATTGAACTTGTCCGGTTGACCATATGTTCCCTTCTCTTGTACAAGGTCGTGGTTGTCGACAATTGATCTTTTCTCAGAACGTTGTGTGAGCTATCACTGGCTGCCTGAGGGGACATTATTTCAGTTCCTTCCCCTTGCCCCCCCAACGACGTGCTGTTTGGTGGGATTGGGTTTAGCACCATGTCTTGTTTACTATCATTTAAGCCAACAGTTTGATTAGCAGGAAAAACTTCATTGAAGGTCGGGGATTCTGAATCTGAGTTCAACTCCTGACTGCTGGGAGAGGAAGTTAGCAAAGTGGCGGTGATTGCTGACAGTAAGGGAAAACGACCTTCGCCGCAGTAATCTCCCGTGAAATCATCGAGGTCAAGCGACCAGAACATGATCCCTCCCAAATCCTTGCTCAAAGCCCACTTCACCTGAAAAGTTAGAAAACAACATTGAGGGCAATTTTAGTTTTATTTTATAACTCAATCAAGTTTTTAATTAGTTCTATCTCTGCATTATTATCATATATTTAAACGCTCTTTGAGTAAATAAGGTAGAGACTCAGTGATCCTAACGGCAGGTTATAATAGTTATAAATAAGGTAGAGACTAAGTGATCCTAACTGCAGGTTATAATAGTTATAAATAAGGTAGAGACTCAGTGATCCTAACTGCATGTTATAATAGTTATAAATAAGGTAGAGACTAAGTGACCCTAACTGCAGGTTATAATAGTTATAAATAAGGTAGAGACTAAGTGATCCTAACTGGAGGTTATAATAGTTATAAATAAGGTAGAGACTAAGTGATCCTAACTGCAGGTTATAATAGTTATAAATAAGGTAGAGACTAAGTGATCCTAACGGCAGGTTATAATAGTTATAAATAAGGTAGAGACTAAGTGATCCTAACTGGAGGTTATAATAGTTATAAATAAGGTAGAGACTAAGTGACCCTAACTGCAGGTTATAATAGTTATAAATAAGGTAGAGACTAAGTGACCCTAACTGCAGGTTATAATAGTTATAAATAAGGTAGAGACTAAGTGATCTAACTGCAGGTTATAATAGTTATAAATAAGGTAGAGACTAAGTGATCCTAACTGCAGGTTATAATAGTTATAAATAAGGTAGAGACTAAGTGACCCTAACTGCAGGTTATAATAGTTATAAATAAGGTAGAGACTAAGTGATCCTAACTGGAGGTTATAATAGTTATAAATAAGGTAGAGACTAAGTGATCCTAACTGGAGGCTATAATAGTTATAAATAAGGTAGAGACTAAGTGATCTAACTGCAGGTTATAATAGTTATAAATAAGGTAGAGACTAAGTGATCCTAACGGCAGGTTATAATAGTTATAAATAAGGTAGAGACTAAGTGATCGTAACTGCAGGTTATAATAGTTATAAATAAGGTAGAGACTAAGTGATCCTAACGGCAGGTTATAATAGTTATAAATAAGGTAGAGACTCAGTGACCCTAACTGCAGGTTATAATAGTTATAAATAAGGTAGAGACTAAGTGATCCTAACTGGAGGTTATAATAGTTATAAATAAGGTAGAGACTAAGTGACCCTAACTGCAGGTTATAATAGTAATAAATAAGGTAGAGACTAAGTGATCCTAACTGCAGATTATAATAGTTATAAATAAGGTAGAGACTAAGTGATCCTAACTGCAGGTTATAATAGTTATAAATAAGGTAGAGACTAAGTGATCCTAACTGCAGGTTATAATAGTTATAAATAAGGTAGAGACTAAGTGATCTAACTGCAGGTTATAATAGTTATAAATAAGGTAGAGACTAAGTGATCCTAACGGCAGGTTATAATAGTTATAAATAAGGTAGAGACTAAGTGACCCTAACTGCAGGTTATAATAGTTATAAATAAGGTAGAGACTAAGTGATCTAACTGCAGGTTATAATAGTTATAAATAAGGTAGAGACTAAGTGATCCTAACGGCAGGTTATACTAGTTATAAATAAGGTAGAGACTAAGTGATCCTAACTGCAGGTTATAATAGTTATAAATAAGGTAGAGACTAAGTGACCCTAACTGCAGGTTATAATAGTTATAAATAAGGTAGAGACTAAGTGATCCTAACTGGAGGTTATAATAGTTATAAATAAGGTAGAGACTCAGTGACCCTAACTGCAGGTTATAATAGTTATAAATAAGGTAGAGACTAAGTGATCCTAACTGCAGGTTATAATAGTTATAAATAAGGTAGAGACTAAGTGATCTAACTGGAGGTTATAATAGTTATAAATAAGGTAGAGACTAGGTGATCCTAACTGCAGGTTATAATAGTTATAAATAAGGTAGAGACTAAGTGATCTAACTGCAGGTTATAATAGTTATAAATAAGGTAGAGACTAAGTGACCCTAACTGCAGGTTATAATAGTTATAAATAAGGTAGAGACTAAGTGATCTAACTGCAGGTTATAATAGTTATAAATAAGGTAGAGACTAAGTGATCCTAACTGCAGGTTATAATAGTTATAAATAAGGTAGAGATTAAGTGATCCTAACGGCAGGTTATAATAGTTATAAATAAGGTAGAGACTAAGTGATCTAACTGCAGGTTATAATAGTTATAAATAAGGTAGAGACTAAGTGATCCTAACTGCAGGTTATAATAGTTATAAATAAGGTAGAGACTAAGTGATCTAACTGCAGGTTATAATAGTTATAAATAAGGTAGAGACTAAGTGATCCTAACTGGAGGTTATAATAGTTATAAATAAGGTAGAGACTAAGTGATCCTAACTGCAGGTTATAATAGTTATAAATAAGGTAGAGACTAAGTGATCCTAACGGCAGGTTATAATAGTTATAAATAAGGTAGAGACTAAGTGATCGTAACTGCAGGTTATAATAGTTAGCTAATACATAAGAAGGTTAGAGCACTTAGCAAGGTTATGTCCGATAGCTAGAGACATTGCGATGAAACTTATTTCAATTGTACCTTGGTAATGACACTCTGTACGTTATCAAAGCTGACCCATTGGTTATTGAAGGTGACAAATGGAACTTGTTGCTCTTCATCCCAAGACATTTGGCTTTGATGTTTTATCGAGCTTTCACAAATCTAAAACCACAAAAAACTTATATATATATATATATATATATATATATATATATATATATATATGTATATGTGTATGTGTATGTGTATGTGTATGTGTATGTGTATGTGTATGTGTATGTGTATGTGTATGTGTATGTGTATGTGTATGTGTATGTGTATGTGTATGTGTATGTGTATGTGTATGTGTATGTGTATGTGTATGTGTATGTGTATGTGTATGTGTATGTGTATGTGTATGTGTATGTGTATGTGTATGTGTATGTGTATGTGTATGTGTATGTGTATGTGTATGTGTATGTGTATGTGTATGTGTATGTGTATGTGTATGTGTATGTGTATGTGTATGTGTATGTGTATGTGTATGTGTATGTGTATGTGTATGTGTATGTGTATGTGCGTGTGCGTGTGCGTGTGCGTGTGCGTGTGCATGTGCGTGTGCGTGTGCTTGCGTGCGTGCGTGCGTGGGTGTGTAGGTGTAGGTGTAGGTGTAGGTGTAGGTGTAGGTGTAGGTGTAGGTGTAGGTGTAGGTGTAGGTGTATCCATTTTTTCTAGGAATCTAAACGAAAATGATATTCGACATTGATCCGTATAATATGTTTTAGCAATGTGCGTGTATTTAATATTTTCTTTACGTTATGCAAAAGAGTCAAAACAGTGGCAACCATAAAATAAATGTACGTCGTTATATAAACAAACCCTAATGTATTACCTATAATAACATACTGAGATGGTGCGATATTTACTTTTTATTGTTCCAAAATCTATAGCGATGACACGAGGAATGACGGACACACTACAAGCCCTCTCATATATATATATATATATATATATATATATATATATATATATATATATATATATATATATATATATATATATATATATATATATATATATATATATATATATATATATATATATATATATATATATATATATATACTAGTGTACCCGACCCCCGCGCGTTGCCGCGGGGATAGATGAAAGTTTGACGAAATATATTAGGATTTCACCAACGCGTGATCAATTATAATTATATGTTCTTAGACGCGTGACTTTCTTTTCTAAAAAATGAGTTATTTAAATGTAAACAATGCCTGTTCTTGGATCATAAATATCAGGACACGGGTTTACCTACACTACCGCATGAAAATCTTGAGTGTACATTAATCACTCACCGAAATATATGGTAGAACACACTTCGGTGACCGCCTCTGTGTCAGAGACGTAGAGGGGCGCTCTCAGGGCCCCAGCCCCCGATTATACTACCGCATAGGCGCGGCGTACGACCCCTGGCTCCTTAAAACTAACAGGCGCCATCGGCCAAATAGCATCCTGTTAATAATGATGCAGATTTCGTCATTCGCTAAAGTGACACAAATGAACAGGATTTTTTTTCTTTTACACGTAAAAAAATTATTTGACGTGTTTTTAAATATCAGTGTGACTGATGCAATATGCTAGCGTTACTAATGGTCTATTATAAGATGCTCGATCTCAATTTCTGACTGGAGTGTCTAATAATAGATGCTTATTGCATCATTCGCAAAGTGACGAAACTCTACTGTAGGCTCCTCAGATTCAAAAAGTTATTTTTTCATCTTTCGCAAGGTGACGAAACTGTACAGAAGGATTTCCTCGCGTTACAAAGTTAATTTTAGAAGCCTGTTGTAGTGTTACCGCTGAATATAGTAGTACCCCTTACTCGCTATGCAGGACGCTCGATTAACGGGTGCCAACATCGTCGCTCTAAAACTCTGGGCGCCAAACCGTGTATTGACGAAAGTTGTACCCTATATGGCGCCGCCCGTAAGAAACTTAAGTTTTCTTTTTCGCAGAAATATTCTCGGGAGTATTCTCATCTACTCCCTAAAAATTCATGGCACTCGGATGAACCGCATCCGAGTTTTATTTTTTATATTCCGTGTATAGAGAAAAAAAATCGCTCCCCCTAACGGGGGGCGCCGCCTTTGCAATATTAAACAATATTTTTTTATAAACCGTATATAGAGAAAAATCGCAGCCGCCCGTGGCGCCGCCCTTGCGAAATTAAAAAAGGATTTTTTTTATGGAACCTTTCCCTGAATTGTTCTTATCAACTCCCTCAAAGTCTCATGACTATCGGATAACGGTGTCACACCAAAATCGACTTATTTTTAGAAACCGTATATTGAGAAAAATCGCACCCTCCCGTGGCGCCGCCCTTTCGAAATTAAAAATGTTTTTTTTTACAGAACCATTCCCTAGAGTTTTATAATGAGCTCCCCAAAGTTTCATGTCTATCGGATAAACGGTGTCACTGCATTTCACTTGTATTATTTTTTATACACCGTAAATTAAAAATTATTTTTTTACAGAACCCTTCCCTAGAGTGGTATAATGAACTCCCCAAAGTCTCATGGCTATCGGATGAACGATGCCAAACCAAAATCGACTTTTATTTTTATATACTGTATATAGAAAAAACAAATCGCGCCCTTTCGGGGCGCCACCCCTGCGAATTTGAAATATTTTTTTTTCGCAGAAAACTACCCAGGAATATTCTCAACAACTTCCCAAAGTTTCATGCCTATCGGATGAACGGTGTCACTGCAATTCACGTTTACTATTTTTATATACCGTATATAGAGAAAAATCGCACCCTCCCGTGGCGCCGCCCTTGCGAATTTGAAATATTTTTTTTCGCAGAAACCTCCCCAGGAATATTCTCGACAACTTCCCAAAGTTTCACGGCGATGTGATGAGAGGTGTAGTAATGCATAAAGGACAAACAAACACACACACATACATTGCTTTATATATATATATATATATATATATATATATATATATATATATATATATATATATATATATATATATATATATATATATATATATATATTGAAGGGGGAGAAAAACTTGCAATTTTAGTTTCACTTTCCATAGCCAGATTGAGCTGAAATTCAGCTCTGTGGTAAACCTTGTTTGACAATACATTATCATTCATTATGATTTATATCGATATTTTAATCCGTGTTTATACACAATTAATCTTTAAATTTCAATTTAAAAATTACTATTTGAATAATACGAATGATCGCTTGATCTAAGGTCTGCCGATGCTGAATTTTTTTTCCGTTCACGTTAGCTGATTTTGTCAGGCACTGATTAGGGACAGGAAATTTACTTTTATGGATCACAAGCTTCAGGAGAGATTTTAACGCACGTACTTTTAGTCAAAGCCAATAACAACTTCATTTCGAAGAATGACTAAAAGGTCATAAATAAATCTCTCACTTACTGCATAAAAACGTTTTAATAATAAGATTTTATGTAATAATGCACTAAGAAGGACAAAATCCTAGCCCAGCCTACTCTCCAACCCTACTCCTCAAAGCAGTCCACTGGCACTAACATTTTATGATCTACCCCCACAAGCTGACAAAATACCACCATCCTATCCCTGAATGACAAATGACTGACCTCGGGGTATGACAGCTGTCCGTCAAGGTGACGTAATCTGCCTGGTTGGCCCTTTCCCACTGATCTGGATCCTACACCATACAATGTGGCTACACTTTCACCTGATTGCTCACGTGGCAATGTGGCTACACTTTCAGCTGACTGCTCACGTGATAATGTGGCTACACTTTCACCTGATTGCTCACGTGATAATGTGGCTACACTTTCACCTGATTGCTCACGTGATAGTGTGGCTACACTTTCACCTGATTGCTCACGTGATAATGTGGCTACACTTTCACCTGATTGCTCACGTGATAATGTGGCTACACTTTCACCTGATTGCTCACGTGATAATGTGGCTACACTTTCAGCTGTCTGCTCACGTGATAATGTGGCTACACTTTCAGCTGACTGCTCACGTGGCAATGTGGCTACACTTTCAGCTGTCTGCTCACGTGATAATGTGGCTACACTTTCAGCTGACTGCTCACGTGATAATATGTCTGCAAGTTCACCTGTCGCCGATTTCATCGTGGTGGTTGGCGTGTCAAGTGTCAGTGGATCATGCAAGTCGTCAATAGACTTGAGTTGACTGCGCTTGACAAGTTCTGTAAGCTCCGGGTAATAATCCCCGCCACTATTGGCCCGAAATTCCTCGACGTAATTCTCCAGATCGGACTCTAGGGGAGAGCACAAGAGACTTTGGCTTGAGCAGTTCAAAATCGCTAGTTGTTTCTCGTTCACTGGCGTTTGTTTTCCGTTCACTGCGGGGTTAGGCGTTTGTTTTCCGTTCACTGGGGGGTTAGGCGTTTGTTTTCCGTTCACTTGGGGGTTAGGCGTTTGTTTTCCGTTCACTTGGGGGTTAGGCGTTTGTTTTCCGTTCACTTGGGGGTTAGGCGTTTGTTTTCCGTTCACTGGGGGGTTAGGCGTTTGTTTTCCGTTTACTGGGGAGCTAACCCGAGTTGATTGTTGTGCATCAAATATCTGGTTAGGATCAGGCTTAGGGTCGAACTTCGCGTTTCGTATCGATGATGTTGAAAGTCTGTCTGTGATATCTAAGGTTGGATGGTCAGAAGTGTTCCGTGTTGCCGTGATGGACGTGTTCTGTGTTGCCGTGTCGGACGTGTTCCGTGTTGCCGTGTCTAATGTAAAGGATTGACCATAGCCCGCTATGCCAAGATTTAGTTTGGACGCCGGAGCCCCAAGCATAAGCCAGAGATTGACAGTCCACTCCTGTTTTATCAGAGGAATTTTTTTAAACAAATCTTCATTAAAATTTTCTGTTAGAATTCTTCACTAGTATGTGTGTGTGTGAGTTCATATGGTACACAATCTATCATGTTCCTACTGTAAAATATCTAAGCAAAAACCTAGTCAATCATATTAAACAGTGCTCACGTCATCTTGCTCCTACACCATCCAGACACATATACAGACAAGCTACCCAAAATAAGTTTCCAAATTGAGAAGTTGTATAACTTAAAATGTGTCAAATTTACATTTTACCCTCTGCTCTATGATAATAGTTCCCTGCTATATGACAATAGTTCCCCTGCTCTATAAAAATAGTTCCCGTGTACGATGATAATAGTTCCCTGCTTTATGACAATAGTTCCCCTGCTCTACAAAAATAGTTCCCGTGTACGATGATAATAGTTCCCTGCTTTATGACAATAGTTCCCTGCTCTATGACAATAATTCCACTAAACTCTTTGTTCGAGAAATTGAAAACGAGGTTACTAACCACACAATGTTTAAAAGAGAAGCGCGTGTCAGACGTCCTTGGATAGAGTGGACTATTGAAACCTGTGATTTCACCCCACGCACCATAAAAGTCGTAGGCCATCAAATTGATCATGTCTACATACCTGAAATGACGTCAAACAGCCTTGATTAATCAGAATGTATACGGCTAGGGTAACATAAAGCAGGAGTGACCTCCCCTAAACTTTCCGAATATTTTTATATAACACTACGGGGGATGGCAACTCGGGATATAGACATGATCTTTAATATGTTTTTAAATACTTAAACTTTTTAAAATAAAATAGAATCTAGTAGCAATAAGGATTTTTTGCACGATCACAATACTTCCTCTATACTTCGTATATGAGAAAGTAGAAATTCTAATATATAAAAGCCTATGTGCGCACTTCTCTCTCTCTCTCTCTCTCTCTCTCTCTCTCTCTCTCTATCTCTCTCTCTCTGTTCCGAATCCTTGTTGTTGTAGATATATAATTATCCAGTTTCTATGCTTCCACTGGTCCTTACAACACGGTTCTTCCCAGCTCGGAACTTCAGCAAATGATTCTTCCTATCGAGTCTCTTCATACACGGGTTTTCAAATACGAGTCTTCATATCACTGTCGTTAAGGCTTGTTGTCGTTGTTTAGCTGCTCCACCAAATGTTACGACTGTGTGGGAGGTTTCACTTGCCCGATTCAATACTATTCTAATTTCACTACGATATGAAGATATTGTACCCGCGGGCAAACATCATATAATTATTCATTCAGACAACAAAAATGACGACTAATCAATCAGATGGCAATATGTTTCTTCTTCTTATATTTATTCTCATACTGGACTTATAATCTTCATCTATATGCTCACGAATCACTTTCCCTACTTAGTCACACCGGTCAGTAGACGTCCTCTTGTCACGACGATCAAGATCAGACTAACTCACACACAAATGCACAGCAACCAGGTTTCTACTAAAAAACGTCACTATCTTACAATCCGCGTCATCCTTATAATGCGTTCAATATGCCCTTCGCAACAATATTCACTCGTGCCAATCTTTAACTGAAACATGTATCATAACACTAATATATAAAAGCCCATCTGCGCACTTCGCTCTCTCTCTCTATTTCTCTCTCTCTCTCTCTCTCTCTCTCTTTCTCTCTCTCTCTCTCTCACTCTCTGTCCGCAACATTTTTGAGGCTATTTGATCAGTACGTTCAGCGATATAAGAAGAACTTTCAGTACGTCCAGCGATATAAGAAGAACTTAAAGATATGACTTTTGTTGAAAATAATATGTTGGATGTTTTAAATATAAAAACTAAATTTTATTTTAAGAAGGAAATACAAAAATAAAGCCATATTCGAATACTGAAAAAAATATTTTTAATTATGTAACTGGAAAAGTGTTTATTGTTGTGACAAGAACGCTAATTACAATGATCTCACATGTCATATATTTAAACTATGGAAAGTACACAAGATAATGGCGTCATCTTTCAATTTCAGAATGAAGAAATGAACAATTCCATTCAAATTTGATTTAGATCTATAGATCTACTTATCGAGACCTTCGCTATGAAATGTATACAATTTTCTCGGCCAAAAGTAATACAAATAACTTTTAAAAACCATATAAATACCATTGAACAGCCGGGTTTTTAACGGAATCATTTATGTCTCTTAACGAATATGTTTATTTAAATAGTGTTGTGTTGACAAACAGTGTATATAATTTGGTTTTTCTAATAGGTATTGGTAGCCTATGTTATTCTGATCTGGTTGACTGAAATAAAATGTGTCTTACTCTCTGATTTGGTTGACTGAAATAAAATTTGACTTACTGACTGATTTCGTTGACTGAAAGAAAATGTGACTTACTGACTAATTTCTTTGACCTGGAAGCCGCTGTTTATCCTCTCGTCACTAGCAGGGGCGGCTATCGAAAGGAGGAGTTCCTTCTTCCCTGAGATAGTTACCTCTTCTCTGAATGCCGTTCGCAGATCCTTGATTGGGAAAACGATTAAGGTCAGTCAATTTATCTCTTCAAGTCTTCAGGGTTAGTCGAGTTTTCTGTTCACTGAACTTTGTAATTAGTAGAATCATATTTGTATAGTGCTACATATAAACATCCTAATATATAAAAGACCCTGTACACACTTCTCTCTCTCTCTCTCTGTCCGCAAAATATTTTGGCAGGGTATCACATCAGAATTTTCAGCGATATATGGAGAACTTGATACGGACTTTTGTTGAAAATAATATGGTAGATCTTTTAAATGTATAACCAACATTTTATTTAAGAAGAAAAATAAAAAATAAAGGCATATTCGAATGTAGAAAAACAGTTTTAATCATGCAACAGGAAAAGTGTTTATAGTTGTGAAAAAAAAACCAATGACGTCACTAATGTTTATACATTAACTAATGACGTCATCTGCCGAGTTCAGAATAAAAAGAAATGAACTATTTCATTCAAATTTGATTTAGATCTAAGTACGCTATGAAATGTATACAATACAATTTTTCCGGCCTAAACTTAGAAATTTATTTTATCTATTTGGATTCTAGATCTAGTGATTCTAGACCTAGACTAGATCTAAATCTACGCTAAAACTAGACGTAGACGCTAATAAGTCGCTAAGATCAAGATTTAGACTCAATCTAATCTAGAATCTATTCCAAAAATAAATGTCTATATTAAACTATTTTAGGCCTTAATTATATTATAGAAATCTGTGTTTGTTTAGTTATGGAACTGGCTAATTTGGGATAAAAAAATTAATTTGAAAGAATAGGCATATTCGCGTAAGTTAAGATTTTTAAATACGTCTTTCATTCTCCATATTTTATAAGGTGCCTAAATGGGGTGCGGGATCGAGACACGATTTTAGACTACAAAGAAAGGAACTACTTAATTCAAATTTGATTTAGATCTAGATCATGGGTTCCCAACCTGGGGGTCGCGAAGGGCTTTCTGGCGGGGGGGGGGGGGGGTCGCCAACTGGTAGACTAAACTCTAGCTTTGAATAAAAAACATAAATATTTAGAAAAATATTTGAAATTCTGCATCACTGGAAATGGAATAGAGAATAAACAATTTGTACTGTGCAAAGTTGTTCTTTGTCAGGAGTCTATGAAAACTTCCAAACATCAATTTGAAACGAGTCATTCGGAACACACCAAAAAAGATATGTAGTTCTTTCGTCGGCATGAAGCTAGTTGCAAACGTCAGAGACTTGATCGAACGGAACGTTTTCACCAAGAAAACGCAGCATTAGTGCAAGCATTATATGAAGTCGCATTAGAATCTGCCAAGCAAAAAAACCTCTTACACAAAGGAGAAAATCTCATCAAACCATGTATGCTGAAGATGGTAAAATTAATTCTTTGGGATTACAGTGCAGTAAAGATGCACAAATATCTCTGTCTAATAATACTATGCAGCGGCTAATGTTAAAAGACAAATTTAGAATGAAATCAAGCTTTCACCATCGTTTGATTTTCAAGTTGACGAATCGACATACGTGAGTTCGTGTTCGCAGTTGCTAATCTTTGTGAAATATATTCATTCAGATGTTAGCAAATAAGAGTTGATGTTTTGTAAAGATATCATGGAGAAACAAAATACGTTTTTTTGAAACTGGAGGATTAAAATGGGAAAACGGCTGTGGGGCTTGTACGGATGGTGCGTCATGTTTCAGTACGCTGGCTGTCAATAGGAAATGTCAATCGTGTTTTTGAATTGAAAGATGAAATCAAGATGTTCTTGGAAATGCAAGGAAACAAGACATTTTGACTTACTTTAACGACATGGTGTGGTTGGAGAGAGTATCATACCTAGCAGATATATTCGATCATCAACATAAGCTTAACCTGATAAAGGAACGAATATTATCTCTTTTCATGATAATCTCTTGGCATTTTTATCAAAGCTGCAAAATTGGCGAGGAAAAATAAATATTTGGAATACTGCTATGTTTGAGAAACTCTGCAGTGTGTTGTGATTGATAAAATTGTTAAAGGATTCTGTGCATCTTGAATCTTTTGACAACGAACTGCGGCGTTATTTTCCCCGAGCTGAAAGAAGAAGAATCTGCATTGTCACTCATTCTCTGCTTTCCTTGAGGTTACAAGCATTGCCGATGAATAACAAGATAAATTCTTAAATTTGCAAACTTGAATTGTTAGTGCTAGTTAATGCTTGTTAATAGCATGTAATTTTTCTCATCGTATTAAAACAGTTATCAAGAATAATTCATATTGAAAGTCTACTAGAAAATATTAATTTAGTGCTTATTATTTTCTTTACGAATTACGATTTGTTAGTTATATGGGAGTCGCGGGTCACTTACGTTTTACGAAAGGGGGTCGCCACTCGAAAAATGGTTGAGAACCACTGGTCTACGACCTCACAAAATATCAGGGGGATCGTACAGCATTATATATATATATATATATATATATATATAGCTCATATAAGGAGAATATTACTCGTGGTCACTTTTAGCCCTCGCCGTGGGAGCAGAGGCTGACCGATAGTTTATCCATAAGGCCGATTCATTTACCCCGGTTTATGGAAAAACTGAGCCAGATGTACAGAGCCAAACCTCCAAAACATTGTTTAGAAAAGAGTAATCGTTTTTCACCATATTAACAATGTTTATATTGGGAATTCGGACCGGTCAGTTCTAAAGCCCTTCTGAAGTTCTCTCGAATATAACGCCTATTTTATAGTGACCCCCCGCGGGTATTTCTACGACCTCAGTTATGAATGGGTTTGTACGTCCAGATGTTTTTTTTTTTCAAAAACGATACTATGTTTATATAGGGAAATATGGCCTCTGATCAGTTAAAACATTGTTCCGGGGTTTTCCCGAGAGTAGCACTATTTTTTTTCTGACCCCCATGGGCAGATGTACAACCGCAGGAGCTTTCAAGGGGTTCTTACGTGGAAATGTTTTTATATATAGCTCATATAAGGAGAATATCACTCGTGGTCACCTTTTAGCCCTCGCTTTTAGTCTGACCGATAGTTTATCCATAAGGCCAATTCATTTACACAGGTTTATGGGAAAAATGACCGAGATATACAGAGCCAAAGTTCCAAAACACTGTTTAGAAAATAGTCATCGTTTTTCAGAAAATTTACAATGTTTATATAGGGAAAATTCGAACCGGTCAGTTCTAAAGGTCTTCCGGAGTTTTTCCGAATATATCATTGTTTTTTTTTTTGCCACCCCGAGGGTCAGTCTACAACCTCAGGAGTTATGAAGAGGTTCCTACGTGGGAATTTTTTTTTCGATATATTATACCTCATCAAAGGCGCCGGTCAGTCGAGGTCAGTTTTGACCCCATCATCGTGGACTTTTCGGCCAACAGGCACCGGCCCCCTTGTTCTATCCCCCCAAGGAAGGATCCTGCTAAATTTGAAGCGTGGGTCCCTTTATTATCTATTGGATACCTTTACTAATATTTAGTAAGAGACCCAAAGTATATACATTATTAGTCAACACAACACCATATTAAATTCGCACACTAATTCAGAGACTTAAATGATTCTGTTAAAAACTCGGCTGTTCAATGGTATTTATGTTGTTGTTTTAAATTAATTTGTATTAGTTTGACCGAGAAAATTGTACACATTTCATAGCGAAGGTCTTGATGAGTAGATTTAAAGAATCTAGATCTAAATCAAATTTGAATGAAATAGTTCATTTTTTCATATTCTAAAATTGGAAGATGACGCCATTGGTGTTGTGTTCTTTCAGTAGTTTAAACATGTGGCATGTGATGTCATTGATTATTGCGTTCTTGTCACAACCATAAACACTTAATCGGTTGTATAATGAAAAACGTGTTTCTCCTTTCGAATATTGCTTTATTTTTATTTATTTTTTTCTTTAATTAAAATTTAGTTTATATGTTTAAAACATCTATCATAACATATTATTTTCAACAAAAGCACGTATCATAAAGTTTGCCATATATCGTTGCAGATACTTATCTCTTAGGCTAGGGACATGCGGACAGACAGAGGGAGAGAGAGAGATAGAGAGAGAGAGAGAGAGAGAGAATTGCGCAAATGGGCTTTTATATATTAGGATGCACTGAAAATGAGAAACAAATAATTTTATTTGAATATATTTTAATACTCGACTATTTAAATAACTACCTATCTAAAAAGCGTGGGTCGCTTCCATTAAATATAAGTAGGGTCTCAAATAAATATTATAGCGACACACGATTTTCTTTATAGTTATTAAATAGTAGAGTATTAAAATATATTTACAAAAAAATCATTTATTTTCTCATTTTCAGTTCATGATTACATAAAAGTTTGTAATTCAAACGTTTTTTATACAATTATTTTTAGTGATTTTATTTTTACTTGCTTCCTCTGTCTGTGATCATTGATAGAAAAAGGGCGAGCGAAATTCCAAGCATATTTAATCGGCAGATTTGTTTTAAAGCTAGCACATGGGTCTAGACTTGAAGACAATGCAATTTGACACCAAATTTGACTATTGGATCACTTTTAAATTTGTAATGAATTAATTAGAATGTTCTGCAATTAATAGGCTCTCCTACTACTACTATCCTGCACAAGTATACGCGCATTATCATATTCATTTGACGCGCAATAGTTTTTTTTTTCAGGCAAATCTATTGTACATTTTTTTTTAAATTATAGAACTAAAAAATGTCATACAAAACATATTGATAGAATCTTTTATGTAACCTATATGCTACTAAAACTCAAGATTGTTTACAAGTTAGTATATGTATATTATAATTTGTTGTTGCTGTCTTTTTGGTTACATGAGAGCACCTGCACTATGTGTAGAACTGCAAAATACGGTTTTATGTTCTTTTTCCCAATCTGTTAATTACAAATTCATTTTTACATGTTAATTAATTACTGATATATTCATTGGTAGAAACACCACTTTAATTATAAAAGTTCAGAACAATTACTTTATTATAGTGAAGTCACATGATTCATTTAATTTTTTGCAAACCTCACATCGGCTTCCATGGAAAATCATGTTACTCATTCAAACGTTTTACACATTAGAAAGCTAAATTTTCTGTTGACTGTATCTTTAACGATTTGTCTGTTTCATATTTTTATTAGGTTCCAGCACTCGCGTCAATTTTCAACAGTTCTTCTAATTTGGGCATACAATAAACTTCTCTACATATAGAGAGGAATGGAAAGTTATTAAAGTTATAGATCTAGATCTAGAATTTGGGTCAAACTAAAATTAATTAGGTTAAAAATAAAAACAATTATAAAAACACAATAAATAATCGAGTTTCTTTAGTAAACTATTTTAGTCCTTAAATATTTTTTGTAAAAATATTTGCTTTTTAGCTTCACGGATAATCTCATTCGAGAATACAAGGAATTTATATAGATTAGATCCAGATCTAGAGTTACGGAAAAAGTAGACTTAAGCCAGCTGTAGTGTAGATTCTATTTAGATCTAGAATCTTTGCCGATAATGAGTTTCTATACTAAACTATTTCAGGACCCATTTTTTAAATATTAATCTTTGTTAGTTTAGCTTTGGAACTGGCTATATTTGGAATCTATATATATAATTCTCTTCTGGGATCAGTTAGAAAACAAGCTGCAAGCGCGCCTTTGCAGTCCCCTCTCTTCCTCTCTATTACTACCACCCCCACCCCCACATGATCTGGTGAGCGGTGTTCACTCTGTTTACATTTTACAATCACAGAGACGGGTTTGGTGACGGCTATTAGGGGCAGATAATTTAGTTTGAAACGAATTTAAACTTAGAGGAGGTAACTAAGAGGAGGCTGCTTTCACGTGGGGGGGGGGGGGGGGGTAGTGTTTTTAAGCAAATATTTTCAACGGCAGCATTGGTACTGTCGAATTCACAAATTATAAATTACTGAAAAGTAGAAAAAAAAAACAACTAAATAGCGGCGTATGATACGCAGCGGGTCGGCTCGTATCATATAATTTAAAATAATAGAGCCTATTCGCGTAACTCAAGTTTCTTAGTTTCTTATTATCCCACTAGTTTTGCACCAAACCTGAATTGCCTTGCTAGCTGAGATGATAGTTTAATAGTTCCCATGCGGGTGGTACGAGTTCGAGCCACATCATGTCAATTTTGCTATTTTTTTAAAATTTCGTTTAGATCTGAATGATAAAATTGCCTTTCGGGACTTGGCGGAACACAGGGCATGTGAAGTAGAGTTCATCTGTTTCTGTATTCTCAGTATATGAAGGGATATTGTGGTCAGACCCATGCTCAGCCGGAATAAGTGTTTTTTAAAAGACAATAGCAAGTTGCCTGAGGTGTGACGTCTTTTTATAAGTGGGGTCTGACTTTTTGTAAGTGGGGTCTGACTTTTTGTGATGATGTCTGACAGTGGGAAGGGAAGGGGGAAAAATCTTCAAAGAAACGTGACGTCATTTATGGATTACTCCTGAAACCCACGGTTCCAGAATAACGGATGGTCTAGTAATGCACTAAAAAGGAGAAAATAATGATTTTCTTTAAAAATGTAATAATAAGCTATTTAAATAACCATAAAAAAATACGTATTTATGCATATTTTTGTGATTTTTTTTTTCATTTCTACCTTTAGAAGTGACGTCAAATCCGCTTTGTGTGATTCTTGTGGAAATTCCCAATCTATATCCAGCCCATCGAAGCCCCAATGCCTGACATAATGGGCTGTGTTGGCAGCAAACTCTTTCCTTTTAGTTGGCGATGACGTCACCTGAACGAACATTTCGGTTTGGTAGGACCCTCCAACACTTAGCAGAGTTTTCAAGTTCCTTTCAATTGTCTTCAGTTTGTTAAACCGGACAAATGTTCCCTGTGGATGTTACCGTTAACAATTTGACAAATGTTACCTGTGGATGTTACAGTAAATAATTTCGTCAAATGTTTACTGATAATGCTCCCGTTAACATTTTTACAAATCTTTAAATGTGGATGTTACAGTTATTAATTTTGACGAATGTTACCAGCTTGGACCGATCGGTCTAGCGGTAGGCAATATTCAGTCTGTCTACCTAGGTCTCTGCTTTTCTTAAAATATGTAATCCTTAAGATTATTCAACATTCTGTAACTGCCTGTCATCAGACTGTTCAATATTCTCTGTCTGTGTGTCTGTGTGTCTGTTTCTTCTTCTTCTTCGTTTTTATTTTTTAGTGCTGGAAGGGGTCGAGCCTTATCTGCAAGAGGATTTGAACTCGAGACTTTTTTTCGAATTTATCATCCATGAGCTTTTTGCCGACTCGGCCACGCCTTCATCACATTTAAGGATACGTGTCAACTGGTTAGGCGCCATTGAGACCATTGACTCCGATTTCAGCCTGCTTTTCTTTTTGAATTTGCGTCCATAGCCTTTGTCCAAACAAGAACAAACTACAAGGCAGCAGTTGTTTGATTTTGGAGTTGTCTCTCCTAGAAGAGTCTGTCTGTGTGTCTGTGTGTCTGTCTGTGTGTCTGTCTGTGTGTCTGTCTATGTGTCTGTCTGTGTGTGTGTCTGTCTACGTCTCTGTCTGTGTGTCTATATGTGTGTCTTTCTGGCTGTCTATGTGTGTATGCCTGTCTGTCTGTGTCTGTCTGTATTTCTGTCTTTCTGTCTTTCTGATTGTCTTAAGATTATTCAACATGCTGTTTCAGTTTGTCTCAATATCATTATCAACTTCCGGTTTCTTAAAAGTCTATACCTTGTGAACCGTTTTAGTTTTTTAAAATATTAAGTTTCAGGGTGCATGCATATCCCTTGACCGGCAGTTGTACTTGACGATATTTCCAATTTCTCAATAAATATCTCTTAAACCGTACCGAATTGTTTCACAATTGTCACGTACGTCAAGGTTCGATAACAATACACTGCGACGTAAATATCACTAGATTTACCACTCTTTTGCACACGTTCTAATGCTTAAGTTAAGTTGGCGCGTAAATCCTTTATCCCTATATTGCACGCTTTTTTTATTTGAAGATGCAAAACATTTTCTATGCTGTGTTTATGTTTTGGGTAGATTATAGATCACTTCTATATGGAAAATTTGTAAAAAAAAATATGGGATATTGCTTTTGTAGGTATGTTGCCATGCGGCAACATGGTGCTTATAAGGGTAAAAATTTCAGTAGTTGCCAAATGGCAACAAACTAACAAATTTTAGTATAAACAAAGACAAACAAGCTCTAGGGCAGTACAAACTAAAGATTTATTAAACATATCAATAATATATGTATTTCAACACATATTGGTAATTTTCACATACTACTAAAACACATAAAAATGTATTTATTTATATATGAAACTCATAAGAAAGAGATAAACTTCCAAAACTTTTGTTGGATGCTTGGTATTAAAATCAATGATCACATTATTTAATTGCATTATAATCCTTACCCTTATTTTGGACCTAACACAATAAGTACCATTATTTATCTGTTTAGGTAAATTTGGAAAGTATAATGAGTAACTTAGTAAAACATATCTTTATTTTTTATCACATGAGAATATTGTAGCTAAAATAAGTTGCTATAGCAGTTTTCCTAATGGGATTGACATAAGTGTGTATTTCTTGAACTTGCTTGTTGTAGTAAGTTTCTGGTAGCTAAGAGATTTATTAAAAAAACTTATACAAGCACATAAATTGTCCAGTGATAGTTGTTCTTTTAGCCACACTGCATGGTACAATACACTTTTTACCCCCTTACATTATTGTGATTACTAAAATATCTACCTTATAATAACCATGTATTCTAGCTGCTGGGATATTGACAAATATTTACAACACTAACATATAGTATGATGGCTAACAAAAATGTTCCTCGCACTTTTTTTTTTTTTTACAAAACTGAATTTCAAAGTTTAATTATTTACACAATTCCCACACAACTATTAGTTTCCAACAAGAGAGCCAATTATATTATTATACTAGTATCTTCTATATCCTTATAATTGTCCACAACTTGTAGATTTTATTTGTTGGTCCTACAATGGTGTGGTGTCAGACATTTTATTTCTGGTGTGGCATAATCTGTTTCTTCTGAGAGAACTAGTGCCGTGTTTCATATTTCTACACCTGAATAACACAAATAAAAATATCAAGTTACCCACCATTTAACTGTAGGCTACTGGAATAAAACTTACTGTGTCAATAGTACACAAACATTTGTTTCCCTATAAGAAAAGGTTAACATTTCTAACAATAGTTAGTCAAACAAATATGCTCGTGCCGTCAATAACATTTTTGCGATAAATAAACCCTAAGGTATAATTAATTATATTGGTAATTCAGGCTAGATATCCTGACATGCAGTGTGCCCAATCAATTAATACATTATCAATAGATAGTGTCATTGATTACTATCTTGTAAACATTTTTTTTTATGATTACAGAGCTCCTAAATCTATTTGTAACTAACCGTCATGAATTTGAAATGTATCTGAACTGTTTCCTGGTCATCTGTTTGGTGATGCTTGTAACTTTTCTTTTCATGTTACTCTAATAAAATTCTCTAGAATCCATTTGTATTAGTAACTAGCAGCTTCTGAAAAAAATAATTAAAAAATTAATAAACTTAATCATCTAGGCTATGATTATATTATAAATTTTATTAGCTGATAGTCAAATATATTGTAAAGTTTATATAAGTAATACTACTACTATTCTAAATCAGTAATGTTCTTTACTAAATAATATATTGCATTTGCCAATAACAGTTTATATATATATATATTTTTTTATAGTGATATATGTGCTAAAATAGTTAGATCTATTAAGTAGTTATACTAATACTAGTAAATAGGCCTATTATTAGTAGACGGATAAATTTAGTAAATAAATTTTCTTTCTGTGACATCCTCTCAACAAAAGAACTTAGGAGGTAATTGGTAATAGCAGCATAATTATCTTCTTTGAATATTAATAAATACATTGAAAAATCTTTGAAAAACAAAAAAAAATAGATTTATTGTTGCCAATTGGCTACAGAGGCTGACAGTGACCTCTGTTGCAAGATGATGCCATATGGCAACAAACCATTTTCGATCTGAATAAGTATGTAAATCATATTACATGATACATATGATAGAATAATATACACAATTTAGAATAGTTTTGAAATATCATTATAATTATTTTATAGTGAAGTAAGAAGTACTTTATGAAAAAAAAATTATAAAAAAATACCAACCTTCATGGTGATCAGCTGGCCCACATTCTCACGAAAATGAAATCGGAAATGGAACCAAAAAAAATCTACTAAAAAGAGTTCGAATTTATTTTGTAAGGGAGATTATAATAAAGGGATGAAACACTATAGTTAATGTGCATCTGTAAAATTAAACATTTGTGTGTGTTCAAAATGGTACGTTGCCATATGGCTACAGTATGCAATATTTAATTATTTATTTTCTAAAAAGCGTGAGTAAACCCCCTAATCTTTCGCGAATCTATAATACTAGCTGAATACCAGTGTTCCGCCACGGGGAAACTTTTTAAATGTACCAACTTGGGAACAGAACAAAACAAAACAAAACACAAATGCAAACACAAAAACAACGCAAGCACAAAAGAAAACACAAACATAATACGAACACAAACACACAAGAAAACGCAAATCAAAAAGCAACAACAATGCAAACACAAACAAATTGAAAACACAAATGCAAACGCAAACGTAAAAAACTCAAACGAAAACGAAAACGAAAACGCAAATGCAACACGCAAACACAAACACAAAAGAAAAAAACAAACGGAAACACAAACTCAAACGCTAACGCTAAAACAAACAAATGCAAACACAAAAACAAATGCAAACGCAAAAAAAAAACACAAACGAAAACGCCTGCTTCAACTCAGTAAACGACTATAACACCCCAACAAAAGGCAGTATTTAAAACATCCGTGTTTACCTACCACAAAATATTATATTAATCCGCTAATTATAATATTCTAACAATACTGTTCTCTTGGTAGTCCGCGGAAAATGCATTCACATTTTTTTTATTAGCGTGAGTTGAATTTTGTTGAATTTCTTTTGTTAAATTACCTCCCTTGGCATAATTATTAAACATTTTGATTGATTAGTTTTTTCGACACTACAGTTATTAAAATGTATCCAATTTTCCTAAGAATCTAAGCTAAAATATTATTTGAAATTGATCCGTTTAATTCTTTAACAATGTGCGTTCATTTAATATTTTATTTATGTTATGCTGAATTATAAAAAAATGTTAACTGTACACAAACTTTTAGTAGCTATATAAATAAACCCTACCCTTTTATTTATAATAAGACTGACACACTACCACCAGCATTCAATTTTAGATATTTTGTGTTTGCGTTTTGCGTTTGCGTTATTGTTAGCATTTGTGTTTGTGTTTATGTTTCCTTTTGTGTTTTTTTGTGTGTTTGCATTTGTGTTTGCGCTTGTGATTGCATTGTGTTTGCGTGTTGCGTTTGCGTTTGTGTAAGACATACATATAGTAAAAAAAATACTTGACTTGATCGCCATTGTAATAATTTAAAAGAATTCATTTTTTTAATTAATATATAAATGGCTGATTTAAAAACTCAATATTGATCATTTTCAATTTTCAGTTCGAATTTTCATTTTGCAACTTTTTAATAGACGTAATAACCAAAGAACAAACTAAACCAAATCGATTACCTTTCACAAAAATTCTCATTTTGTTTGAAAAAAAAATACAAATT